CAAAAATATTCTTCTGAGAAACTTTTGGATTCTGACCATCGTCACTCTGTGGAACATTTCGAAAATTTTCAAAACTTCGACAACCTGTCAGAGTGTCAAACAAAAACCCGGAAACGTATTTCGGTTTCCTACTCTGCCTGTTTGAGTTTCAGGATTTTCGGAAACCATCCGATAATCGAAAAAATATCTACCGAGACTCTTTTGGATACCAACTCAGTACTATTGGCAATATTAGTTCCCTAAAATGCTTTAACGGTTTTTGAAAATATTAATAGTTTCCAGAAAACACAAGAGAGGTACTCTAAAATATTTTCCACGAGTCGACATTGGTATTATAGAAAACCAAAGGATTTCAGAACCTTCGGAAATCAAGAAATTATTGTCAGAAAACGCTTCAAGGGTTCGAAAACGTTCTCAGAAACCTCTAAATGTTTGTCAGAGGGTTTTGTAGCGAGTTTTCCAGGAAACAGATTTTTTTAGAGAGTAGCCTTATAGATATGCCCTTATTTCTCTATCCTTAATACTGCACCTTATAACTACACCTCTTTATCTATACCCTTTATATATATACCATAGCAATTCTTTTATTTTGAGTATGCCTTAACGACTACACTCTTATATCTTGACCATTTTATTTATGCCAGTATACTAATAGCTTTATATGGACTTCCTTATTGCTATTCGGTTATTTGTGTATTCATGAAACTATATGTTTAGTTCTATATCCTTGAATTCATACGGATTTCACTAAATTCTCTATCTTATTTGTAAGATGTGAAGTTCAACGACACGTCTGGATATTAACTGCGCATGATATGGTTGACTAATTTCATAGTATTAGATGCTTTATTGAATGGGTTATTTTTGTTGACGTTAACGAGTGTTTTAGAACAAACACGATAGAAAACGAGAATACGATAACAAATCGTTTATAGCTGACGCATGCGATACTTAACAATATTATCGGAGCTTCATTAGAGTCGTCGAATTGTTTGGATAGTCGTAATGTAGTGTTAAGCATAATCTATGATTGCTGTAAACGAACACTGTATATGGTTTTCATTTTCAATCAGTAAACGGGTGGGTTGATTGATTTGGTCAAAATATATGTATACTTTTGTATTGTAAAACAGGAGCAGTAGAGGTAGGGGTGGTAAATTAGCATTAGTATTACAAAAATGCTAATGCTTTAAGCATTAGTATTAAAACTAACCCTAATGCTTTAGCATTATTGGCATTAGTATTAAGTAATGCATGGGTGTTAGCATTAAATTAGCATTATTTTTAACACTAATACTTGGATTCAGAATACAGTAGAAAATTGTTCTGTTTTCGGGAATATGACTCATCAATGACTCATCAGTGAGTCATATTTTCCCAAAACAGAACAAAATTTTCATATTTTTGGGAACTATGACTCACTGATGAGTCATCAATGAGTCATATTCTTAAAAACAGAACAATTTTCTACTTTATTCTGACTCCAAGTATTACTGTTAAAAATAATGCTAATTTAATGCCAACACCTATGCATTACTTAACACTAATGCCATTAATGCTAAAGCATTAGGGTTAATTTTAATGCTAATGCTTAATGCATTAGCATTAGTATTAATAAATGCCAATGCTAATTCTAATGCACCACCCCTAAGTAGAGGTTTCGCTTATGATACATTAATAATGAGAGAGCAAATGAAAAAACTTGAGAAAATTTATATCACAGCATTTGGATTACTAAATAAGAAAGATAGAATTATTTGCCTTTATAGTTATTTACCAGATTTAGCATATATTAGTTAGGCGTTGTGGATTCGATGGTGATTTGTTTCAATCTTTTTCCGGAAATGGGGAACAGGTGAACAATGTAAAGAAAGTAAAATTACTTGAAAAGAAAATTCACGTCATCTCAACGGTTTAAGTGCAACAAGCATTCTCGAGCGACTGAAAAAGTCGGACATTATAGTACAATAACATATCGGGAAGTAAAAGAAAGAAGAAAGTATGCAATAAGATAGTTCTAGTGAATGTGCCTTAAATTGCATTTTGAAAAAATCTTTTCTGCCAACTTGTTGAAAAAAGACTTCATAATGAATATATCTTGCACCATATTTTTTCTCGCAAATCCTTTTATGGCAGCACGTTTGAACTGTGACACGTTGAAGAATTGACCAGAAAAGAGAAAATATTTTCCGCTTCGCTATTTTTGAATAGAGAACGTTTTTTAGAATTGAGCATTTTTTGACAGAACCGTTCAAGGTTCAGTCTTATTGTGCAAAACTTCTTCGGTTTAGCATTATAGAAACAGAAATTTTTATAGTTCAACAATTTTCTGCTGAACCTTAGACAGTTCAATATCATGGGACAGAACCTTTTGAGTTCGCCCTTGTGGATAGAACACAGTGAATGGTTCCGCATCTGAACTTTTTATGGTTCAGGATTCTTTTGCCGAACCTTGCAAAGTTCAGCATCATGGGACAGAACCTGTTGGGTTCTGTACTTTTGAATAGAGAACATCTTATGGTTCGGCATTTTTTGACAGAACCTAACTAGGTTCAGTGTCATTGTGCAAAACCTTTTCGGTTCAGTATTCTTCGACACCGAACTTTTGATGGTTTTGAATCTTTTTCCTAAACCTTCCAAAATTCAGTACTGTTGGGCAGAACTATTGATAGTTCCGTACTTTCATACAGAACTTGAAAAGGTTCTGCATGAGCGGCAGAACCATAAAAAGGTTCTGCAGTACTCCTTTTTTTCTTTCAGAGTAGCCAGCTCTCTTCATTATTGTACACTAGCGAGAATCAGTGCATACTGCACGGTAATTTTTTATCATCGAAAGCAAGTTTTTCGTGAGGATCAGGGGATTATCAGGTATATTATTCAAATGCCTATCTCCATTCTATCAGAAGAATTTATTTACATAATCTACATTTATTCTAAAACAACAAATTTACAAAATTTCTTTGAAAACAATGTTTTTAATTTTACGTCTTGCACTGCTTTTTTCTTCTTTGATGATTTGTACCTTGATAGAGGTTAGAGAGCGAACTCTTGAAAAAGCAAGATATAATTGTCCATGACTGAAAACTGGTTTTGGTAGAAGTAGTCCTAATCGACCAAAGGTCTGTCCTTGTGATTTGTTAATGGTCATAGCCAATGAGAGTCGAATAGGAAATTGATGTCTACGTAGTTGAAAGGGCAAAAATTGATCAGACGGTGTCAACGTAATTCTTGGTATTAGAACTCGACTTCCTTTGTTAGATCCGGTTGCGATTTCACAATCAGTCGTATGATTTAGTAAACGTCGCACAATCAGCCGAATTCCATTACATAGACCTTGATGAACATCGAGATTGCGAAGAGTTATAACAATTGCATCGATCTTTAGTTTAAGTTTATGAGGAGGCATTTCTGATAGTGATGAAAACCTTCCTATCCTAAAATTAACTAAAGTATGATCAAATAGCATAGAAAGATAGAGCGCTTTTTCTCTATTGCTTCACACGAAAAGACACTCTCCTTCAGCTTAGTGTAAGGTATTAAAGCGTCACTCTCACTACTTTTGGACTGATCTAAGTAGTTCAATGCTTAGGAGCAAATTCAGGTAATCTCTCCGCCGATGATCTGTGTTTTATTATATGACCCCCTATCTTAATAAAACTAGAGTCTATGATTAAATATGTAGCATAAGAAGGTACTCGAGTGTGTGAAAGAATATTTACATACTCAAAAAAATGGAAGCAACCTATAAATCTGTCAAACAAAGTGGCGCAATCATTCTATACACAAATAAAAAAAGCCAAGAGTAAACTTAGAAATGAATGGATAAAAAATCGAATTAGTAAACGAATTCAAGTATTTATGATTCATTTGGACAAGCAAACTCTTAGAAACCAACAATTGATAGGTGTGTAGAAAACACTCAGAAATCCTTGGGAAAATTAAGGTGGCTGAGAGCAAAACGTTTTATGTCTACTAAGGCACTTATGCAATGTTCTTTCGCATATACATTTCCCCATTTTGCATGGATATTTCCCTTCTTTCCCTTGCTGTCCGTGTCACATCAACAATTATTACAACACAAATTTCGTGTTGGTCTCCGACTGGTGCATCGCTGCCCTTTTATCTCAGCTCATAATCTATACACTATAACTAAGGAAGATTCTTTAGAACTATACGTTGAAAACTACATTCAAAAGAGATTAAAAAGTATTCACACAACGGACCTTGGTCATTCACTCTTCTATAACGATATTTTTATTTGGGATGATTTTCATAAAAGAAAGAAGGATTCTTTTGGCCTGTTTTTTCATAGTAATCGAGTAAAACAATTAATGCAAACACATGAATCGCTTCTCTTAAAATTGATATCATCTATTGAAATAAACTAATGGTAAACAAAAAAAATCACATGTACTATCTTTATACCTTTCTCCCTTTCTTTCTTTCTTTTGTGATTTTTTCTTTCTTCGTTTTTTCTGACCTTGAACTGCGTACTTATATCCTCCTTCGATGTCGTTCTCTTTTCTCGCCTCACTCTCCTTTTTCTTCACATCTTTTTCGTTTCTCTCTTCTCTTTTTTTACCTTCTCTTCCTCGCTCTTTTGCTTTTTCTGTATTTACCTTCTTAACCCCTATGCCAGCTGAGTTGATACTCGATAGAAAGATATCCTCTATGATGATAAAGCTGATTGTATTTATATTGTTGCTCCGTGCTTAAATACCTAATCTTTTCATATATCATCATGTAAGCACTTCCAAGTGTTACATCTAAAGCATAATAATAAAAAAAGAAAAAAAATGTCATAGCTCAAAATAATTACTAAAGTGTAGTGATAACTCGTTTGGTATTAAACATATTCTTGTGATCGATTGCCATCAGCCTCTTTTTTGTACTTTATTTCTAAGCTATTTCATCATCTTAGACAAGATGAAGACATCAGCAATGAAAGAAAAGTGTCGTATGAAAGATGCAGAAAGTTTCATCGATAGAAATATGTTCGATTATCGTTTGCTAATTCGTGCTCGCAGCCCATACTTAGGTCTCATCGTAATACGAACATCGGGTGTTACAATTTGACCTGGTTCTAATTCGAAATGACATCGTTTCAGTAACATCGCTAGTATAACTTTGGCTTCGAGCAATGCAAAATTCTGTCCAATACAGTTTCGTGGTCCGGCAGCAAATGGCAAATAGCAGAAAGGATGAGCTAATTTTGGTTTGCGACCTGTGACAGAATCACGCATCCATCGGGTGTAATCGAATTCGAGTGGTCGAGGCCAAAATTCTGCTCGCCGATGTAGAATATGGCTGTTTATAACAATTGGCGTGTTTACAGGGATAAATAATGGCCGGTGACTCCCACTACCGATAGTATGTTCACGTATACAATATCGTGCAAAAAGAGGTGCTGGAGGATAGAGTCGCAGGGTTTCGTGCAGGACAGCTTCACAAACAGTTAAATTATTAATATGTTCATAGCTGGGATTAATGCCACTGGGAATAACTCGATCGACTTCGTTAAGGCACGCGCATAGCACTTGTTCGTTGGTCATCAACACGTACATAGCCCAAACAAGAAGATTCCCTGTTGTTTCATGACCTGCCAATACAAAAGCTAAAGCTTCATCCTTGATTTCTTCATCGGCAAACGGTTGCCCATGTGTATCTACTGCTGAAAGAAGTAGATCGAGAATATCAGATCCTGAACATAAACTTTTTGAACGATCCTGTCGTCGATCGGCAATAATCTGTTCGACAAACTGAGCAATTTCTCGAGCACCTTTGTTGACAATACGCTTACGCCAGAAAGGCATTGCTGCTAGAACAGGAATTATATTGATCATCCTTCCTGTTCGGTATTCAATTGCTTCGAGAACTTTGGTGAAGACTTCAGACACAATGCTTTTAGCATTCGTGATACTTTCAAAGCCTTTTCCAAATGCACATGAAGAAATTATTGTTAGTGTGAGAGCACTAAATTCTGTCTGCAAATCAACAGATCGATGAGTACTCGTGATAAGTAATTCATCAATCATCTGTCTCGTTTGATCAATCATAATAGAGACCATCGATTGGAGATTAACAAAGTGAAATGCTGGGTTGAGCATTTTCCGGGCTCGTTCATGTTCTTTTCCTTCACTTACAAGAAGATTATGTATACCAATGATTGGTTTGAAGACTATGGCACTCAGAGGTGTCTTAGTATAATCATGAGCATGTGGTCGACCGAGAACATCGGCAAGTAGATCTGGATCGTGAATGAAGAGACGTGTCCAAGGGCCAAAACCCATAAGAAAGACATCTCCATGTTTTTCAGCAATCTTTTCGTAATAAGTCATATATTGATCATTGGCTCGAGCTTGATTTAGTTCAGGCAATTGGCCAATAATTGGCACAAATGGTTCACCTGACACACCTTGACGACGAAATGCATCATAAATATATTTCGCTGGCCGAATTAATTTCCAATACACGATGAAAACAAGCGTTAGAGTAATACTCACAAATGCACACAAAAGCAGAAAGAATATCATTGTGTGTTGCTTCTAAACGTTAAGAACAAGTAAATGAAGAAACCACATGGTGCCCTGGTCGCTGAAACAACAAAAGAAAAAAATTGTATTTTACATCGAGTTTGTCGTTCTGTTGTATTGTGCGAGGCTGCGCTTTGAAAGAACAAAAAAAGTACGTCGGCTTCTTTTGGCACACTTAAGTCGATGAGCATGTGCCATACGACCCGGTGACACTATTTTTCACAATATCAGAGCCATACGAATCACAGTGTACGAATCAAAGGTATCAACATAGCAAAGAACTATTACGAAAATGTGGATCTCTAGGGAGTAATAAGACTCTGTATATGAATCAATGATAGCGGATGGAAAAAATTTAAAGAAAGAGACGTTTAAGAATTCGTTTTCACAGCAAAGGGGAAGCATTTTATTGGCTTAGAACATATTCATAATAGAATGGAATTCATTTCTTAGTGTAAGTATTACGGAGAAGTGTTGTGGCTCCTCTGTATCTCTCTATCACAGAGTTTTGAACGTCCTTCCCTCACGTATATACCTTAACAACAGTCATTAAAGGCGGTGAACAAAATGAATAACAAGATTCAGATTAATCTACAAGGGTGTGAGTGTAGATTATGTGGGCTTGAATGCGGGTCTGTGTCTTCTTTTCATGAAAATTCACCCACATCCACCCTGATAGTACAGTTAGCTAATTTTGCTATATAATTTATATGCTTTATAAAGCTGAAATATCAGTAAAATGCTTTTTCAATTAATTTTAATAAACCGAAAAAATAAAAAATGTGGTAACGAAAATGAATCCTATATTGAAAAATTCAATACAAGACAGTTATAAAATGCAACGTAGAATTCTCGTAGCTACTATTTCTTCTTGAAGTTGTTTTCTTCCATTGATGAGTAACTGTATATTTTTCAAAGCATTGATTTTCATATTGAATATAAATAATACTACTTTTTGGTATTTGAAACATTTTAGCTTCGTTTATTTTTTTATTTTTAATTCGTTATAGGACTAAAAATATGACAAGCTTCATCTCGTTTTCATATAGTTGTTTTAATAGGTTATCGTTAGAATTCATGGAACAATATTTTCTTGTAATATCTAAAAAACTATTTTAAAAACACAATCTTGCATCGTCTTAGATAAACAAATTAAAAACTTAACAGGTTCTAATACCGTCGAGGAAGGACTGTACTGTAAATGGACAGCTGTGGCCACATCTACATTCATTTCCTTGAAATTCGATGCCAAGGATTCCAACAATTTTCAAAAGGATCCCATGGGTAGTTGTGGGATTCTCCTCAAAAGTCATTCGACTATTTATGGTATTTCATAGGATCTGAGTCAGAGAATATTTGAACTGGCTTGTCAGTTGACTACACGAGCCATTGCCAGATGTACGACCATCAGTAGAAATATCTTGTTGTTTGAGCTTTATCGTTTTGAGATTATGTTAGAAGAAACTTCACTTGATTATATTGATAAAAGATTAATACACTACTTCTGTCTTTATTGCATGTAAGTGCTCACATGTTAATTTTTTTGCAATGAATCGTCAATAGAAAGACAAAGAAATAAGTAAAAAGCGATGATAAGTGTGTGAAGAGAAAGTGAGAGATTCCTTGCTTCACTATTCATCATAAAATTAATGTACCATGCAATAGTAATGGCACAAAATGTTGATCACTGTTTCCTTTGATAGACAGGCGCTGAAAGAAAACTATTTTTACTAAAAGATAGAGCTTTTTTGTCTCTTTCGAATAATGTATAAATTTTTTTATAACACATTTGTAACCGGAACGACACAATAAAAAAGAGAGATTCCATCAAAAACAAATCCACACTTTTTCTGTAAAAAAATGCACAAGATGTCAACTTTTATATCTGTTCTGTAAATAGGCTCTAAAAAGAAAATTTTGTTATGAATTGATAGGACATTTTCTCGTCTTTTGAATGGTGTACGATTTATATTTGTCATACATTCGTCAATGGAATGAGATGAAGAAAAAAGAAAAATACTTGCACAAAAATTTGCAGTTTTTGCATGAATCAGTCAAAAATGTCTTGTGGATGGTACTTAAGTTTAATTAACTATCGTTTTACGAACTGTTTTGACGAGTTCATAAAAGGCAAAATGGCTACAGTTTTACAAGGGCTTTTTAATGAGCATGGAAAGATCAAATTGGGTGTGGGGTGTGAGTATGGGTGTGATGTGGGTGTGGATGTTGATGTGGGCGGATGTCGGTGTGGGTGGGTGTCGGTGAGTGTGAATGTGGGTGCATGTAGGTGTGGGTGTGGGTGTGGATGTATGTAGGTGTGGGCGTGGGAGTTGATGTGGGTGGGTATCGATGTGCGATGTGAACGCCTTATCAACACCTACACCCCACGCCAATACCGCACACTCCACACCCACACCCACAAGCACACCCATCTCACATGGAACAGTTTGCGATACCTCATCGCTTGGGACGAGTTTTTTCGTCCAGTTGCATCCCACGAGGAGCCCTACTATATACACCCCGAATTGCCACAGCACAACAGCCATGCAATTTACTCACATGAGCAGTACAAGTGTACAGAGCTGAGAATACAAATCTAAGTCTTTTGTGTTGATAAAAATGGCTTACATCAACTTCATCTAATTTTCGTTTTGTGTCAGTATAGTGTGATTCATACAGAGTGATGGAGCAAGTTGGAAAAATATTATAAACACATACACAATGCCAAAGAACGAAAAAAAATGGCACCTACTCATTGACATACTCACTGCAATCAATGCCTTTATTTTCTTACTCATGCATACTACAATAGCTTGAAAAAAATGTTGCGTTCTGATTTCGTCATATTTTTTTCGTTCTTTCTTATCAATTTTACTCTCGAAATGATCAATACCTTCATCGGAAAAAACCAACTTCAACTTGATTCGAAAAGAAGTGATTTGTAATTCGCAGTTGATTTGCGCATAATATGACTTGTTACAATATTACAACGACTGACATTGACATTACAAGTGAACCTTTGCTGAAAAGATTCAAGCCGGAAAATTTAGATAGTGAGCAACAAATTTCCGTGGCAAGAATCAATTGCGAACAGATCACATTGGTTTGGCTCGACCATCAAATCGGACAGACATCACCGTTTTCAGGTGATATTCATTTCACTGAGCAGAGATTACGTCAACTGAACGATTATGTACTTGTATTTTCAAGCGCATCACCATGCTGTGATTATGTCGAATCTGTCAAAAATGAAACGGTCATTCTTATAGTGGCTGGTTCGTGTGCATCATCTGATTTTCTCACAAAAATGTACAAGTTGCGACAGATTGATTCAATCTTCATCTTCTGCAGAAACAAGAGTCTTTATGAGTCACTCTTGGTCAATAAAGACTACCACAAGCTAGTCAATATCTTCGATGAACAAACTAGTTTGGAATTAAGTATAGCAAATGTAATTGAACAAATTGATAAACAATCAGCAATCTTTGCACTCTACAATCCAAAAAAACAGAAAATGGCTCGAGATCTCAATCGAGAGTCAGGGTCCTTTCTTTTTCTTCAACTCGTTAAACAAGTCATCCAAAAAATGTTGCCGAATCAAATTGCTATCAGTAAAAGTAAAGAAGAAATGCTCGAAAAATGTCGTCTATACTATCGAGATAACCAGAAAGAAATGAAGAATATTGCCAGGTTTGAACGTGAATATACAAGTGATCAAGCAATTAAATGGTACACGAACGATTCATTTATCTATAAACTTATAAACAAAGCTTTACGAACCGAAGATATCAATGCTTTATACACATATCGGTTCTTTATAATTGATCTTTGTGCGTGTTTAGCCGAGAATTGTCAGTTATTACGAGACTCTACGTCGAAATTAAAGGTCTATCGTGGAGTGAAGATGTCCAAAGTAGAAATAGAGCGACTCTGTGACAGTATTGGTAATCTTGTTGCAGTAAATGGATACTTTTCGACGAGTCGAAAACGAAGTGTATCAAAGATGTTCGCAGGTGTCGGGGTAAAAACCGACAGTCTTTCAAATTCAGATGCCCTGGAATCAATCGTATTTTATATTACGGTGGATTTGGAAAAGCACTCTAGTATTATTCTTGCAGATGTGCGACATCTTAGTTCGCATATAGATGAAGAAGAAGTACTCTTCGATTTAGGCACTGTATTCAAGATTCTGGCGATGCAATATGACGACAAACTACACTATTGGAAATGTTTTATGTCTGCAAGCGACGAAGGTCGTGCTATAGCTAAGGAATATCTTGATTTCAAGCAGAAGGAATTGAATCAAACAGATGATACTGAAGTTGCCTTCGGTACATTGTTATACGAGATGGGAGAATGGCGCAAATCTGGCACTTATTTTGAAAATCTGTTACATCACCGCCCCAATGATTCTCAGATTTATTTTGGTATCGGCCGATCCTACAATGCATCCTCTGAATTCGATCAAGCACTATCATACTTCAAGCGAGCTTATAACTTGAGTATGTCAAATGCTAATAAGAATACTGCTTTTACAGCCAAAATTTGCTGCAGTACGTTACGGGCATATCATGACTCAGGAAATTTTGACCAGGCTCTTGCTTTGGGTGACGAAGCCCTTGGACTTTATCGACATCTCGATGAACATGCACATGCTGTGGGTATAGCTCAAGTACTGATTAACATCGGTCTTGTTCATTTCGATAAAGGTAATGACAATGCAAGCTTGGATCACCTTGAGCGAGCTCTTCGACTTCTAGAAAGTTATTATCAATTTGATCATCCAGAAATCAGCGATTGTCTTACCCATCTTTCATTTGCCCACTATCACAAAGGAGATTTCGAAAAGGCGCTCGATTGTTTATTGAAAAGCTTACAAATGGATGAGCGACTCCTTCCCATTGATCATCCGAACATCTCTGCTACTGAAAACAACATTGGTAAACAGCACTACAAACAGGGCAAATATCAAGAAGCACTCCAAAGATTTCGCCGCGCAGCGGACATAGACATTCGAGCTCAGACCGATTTCAATGAAGGTCATATCGTTGTATTGAACAATATAGGCAAGGCACTCTATCGACTCAACAACTTCGATGAAGCAATGGTCTATTACGATAAGGCCTTGCATTTGATTGAAAAGATCTTCTCATTGTCCTTTGACCATATTTATTTAGCTTATACTTTGAAAAACAGAGGTGAAGTTCTATTTGCATTGGGTGATCTTATCGGTGCACTTGAACTATTTGAAAAAGCTCTCGAAATGTACAGCCGTATTTTTCGGGAAGACAAAAATCATCGAGATATAGCCAAGTGTCAGCATCTTATTGGAATGACTCATCTTGCTATTGGAAATTATAACAAAGCAGTTGAAGCTCTCGATACAGCTTTGTATATGTGGACTAATGTATTGCCTCAATATCATCCTGATCTAGCGATTATCCATCAAACGATGGCTGAACTCTATACGCAAAAAGCAGACGAAAGAGCGAAAGCTATTTCACATTATCAAACAGCGATCTCCGTCTACACAAAACGACTATCGGTCGATCACGAAAAGGTCAAGAATTTGAAGAGTCGGCTGGCAACTCTTGAAAATCAGCAGATCGATCTATATGAGACATTGTTCTCGTTTAAGAATATCTTCTATCTATTTTCAAAACTTTTCAGAAAATATTATGCTTTGTTTGTTCAAGCTTTTTCACGTATCATCTATCATTGAAGAGAATATGCGTCGTTTTGATTGATCTCCTAATCATGTGGTGGGGAAAGAGAATTGAACGACATTGTAAGACTTGATTTTTTTTCTTTGGCTACATTTTTGTGGGTGTGGGTGTGGGTGTGGGGTGTGGGTGTGGGTGTGGGGTGTGGGTGTGAGTGTGGGAGTATTTTATCTCATCACCCACACTCATATCTACACCCACACATCCACACCTACACTCACACCCACACCCACACCAACACCCACACCCACATCCACACCCCACACCCACACCCACACCCCATCCACACCCACACCCACACCCTCATACATGTTCTCTTAGTTTTGATTATTACAGATAAATAGAAAATATTCTTCTTGAAGGACAACATATATATGTGTTGATCAAGCGTGACGAGTAAAAAGACATTTATCACACTAAATAAAATAACACAATTATCTTTGCTATTGAATAATTACGATTTGAAAATGGACTTAAATTTAGTAATATTAACTAAAATAACAAAAACAATTCATTATCATTATTTGGCATAATGTATTTGGCAATGACAATAAAAAGAAATGGTTCTTTTCTTAGACTAATTCAGCACAAAGATGTTCTAAAAATATGTGACAGCTTTTCTTCATCCATCCACGATGGTAGAGCAAGAAGATAAATCTTTGGTTTCAAATAGAAACCATCTGTCGTTAAGTGATATGTTTTTGTCATACTCGGACATATGATTCAGTCAAACTGTTATAAGATATTCAACAGAATATGCATTGATAAGTTTATGAAAATACTCAATCCGAAGTGTAACTTGTTTACAAATTGGTTTAAAACTATTGACGCCATTCCTTATGGATGCTCACATTCATTATTGCCCCGAACTTCTTTTAGCCATGGAACATTTCGGGATTGGAACTTGAAAAAAGTTTGATCAGTCGGGCTGTAGCCAAAATCGAACATAGGAACAAAGACGTCAAATACATATGGATCTTCGAAGTCTTTTTTTAAGATTTATTGACATTCAATGAGTTTTAACAGCATCTTTGAGATATTTCATAGTATTTCATTCACAAATGAATGTTTTGAGTTTTTTTGTGATATGTGCTGACAATAAAGATTTTCAAACAGAATCTGGAATAGTCACACAACTCACTTTTTTCAATGAAACTTCAATTATGTCCAAAATCATCGAAAACTAGTAAAAAAGATTCTATCCAAGTATCATTGAAATTGTTAGAATTCGATAGAATCCAACAATTTGTTTGATCTGGGTGCATTGTTCATTTCTTGTTTTCATACGCGACGGCTGCGCAAATACATATACAAAAGATATTCTGAAATGAATACTAATCCCATACATCTAAAATTAGCTTCTTCAATCTTAATCCTGAACAATTTTCATCACTTTCATGTTCCGCAGGATCTCCACATGATGTATCCCTATCATCTTTTCACTCATAAAGAAACAGTCAAATTTATAATTGTACTACTATAGCTATATGTATTAGGTCAAAGATCCTAGAGCCGGTAGAATTTGTGCTACTTACCATTATGTACCTTGATGAAATGCGTTCTATTAGTATCCAGAAAAGTAAAGTTGAATTCCACGTTGCTCAGATGCCATCTTATATAGTCATAGTTAACATAATGGACATAACGGTTGCAATGAGCATAAAATCAGAATATGGTCCTTTCGGTCAGGTAAAGCGTTCTGTGTATGTGTATTTTCGCCATCATGCTCAGTCATATGAAGAATAGGATATGATTTTTCACGAATTTTCTCACAAAGAAAACAAATCTCCTCTGAAATTGGAAAAAGGTTTTCCTAAACTCATGCAACATATCGTAAGTGCAGTCTCATCTTTACATAATTATATTGGGTCAAAAAATCTAGAATTTATGAATTTGCACTATGTGGTGTCATACAGTGGAATATATGTATCAGAGTACATAACAGTACATGTATCATTGATGGAAGTATGCGAACAAATGATAGTATAAATCGTGTTTGTATCTGCGCAGATCTGTCAGATGTTCTTCATAGATGTTCTCTTTGTAGATTTCTCGACTTTATAAAATTTCCAAGTTAACACAACTTTTAATATTGACTTTTAAGAAATGATTACTTAAAAATTCGACATGATGAAAAAATAGAATTTTTTTTTAAAGGTGTGTATGGGAGTCTTCTCTTCATCCCCACTCACATGCCGAGTTCTTGAAGGAAAGATCCGTGTTCGGCCGGAAAACTATGGAAAATGCTTGGGACTTGGAATCAGGAATCTAGTGATTGGATCTAGTTCCGATGAAAGACGATTGTAATCAAGCAAAACTGTCAATCATATCTGAATATCATATTTCTGCTTTCAAGTTCCTACTATTTTCACGCGTTTTCTGGGTTTGCCTGACATATATACTTTACTAAATGCATTCATCTTTTAAAAAAATATCGGAAGAAAAACATAAAGTGGAATGCACATCTATCATAACTAAAATGAAGACAAAATCAAATTCTATTCATTTGAAAAAAAAAGAGTTTGTCTCTTATTATCGTTCATTCAAGAGACGATCAAAGACGTAGTCAAATGTTTCTTTTAGAATGGCTGCTAAAAGAATTACCTTTACTAAGTTCAAAATCTATTTGATTTGTACAAAATAAAATTCTACTATGTAGAAGATATTGGAATCAAATTTAACGATGAAAAATAAAATCAAAATCGATTGAACAGATGCTCAATATGTATAAATACTTTCTTAAAAAAAGCAATTTACAATGTACATATTCTGTTTACACGTTAATTTATTGGTTTTTTTTAACTTTTTGAATGATTAATGTGTTATTCTCAATGTTTTCTTATATCAAACATCACTATTTTCTTGAAAATATATTCTTTTAATTTTAATTAAGGTGCGGGAAATTCGAAACGTTCACGCATTCTTGAATTTTTTCGAAACATACATCATTCGATAGAGCTCAATGAGTAGATTGCGACTATCTACTTGAAATTGAATTTTTATCAAGTTTTGGCTGAGAAATCTTGAAAATACTAAGGAGCAGTGAAAAAATGAACTTTTTACATTTTTGTAGAAAATTCAAGATTTTACGCTGAAATCNTACTGAGTAGACAAAATGCATGAGAAGAATCTAAAAGAAAAAGAAATTTTGACATTAGCTGTTGATTCTTCAATGTGACTCATCCTTCGAATGATACCATTGTAAGAAGCTAAAAGAAAAAAAGAAATTTTGATATTGAGTTTTTATTCTTAAATGAAACTTAACGTTTGGATGAAATCTATTTGAAGAATTTCAAACAAAATAGAAATTGCTATATGTATTTTTATTGTTCGATCCTGTGATTTTAAGAAAAAATCAGTTATAGCGATCACCTGAAACCAGAAGTTTTGGGTGTTCTCACTCACTACAACTTTTATAAATTATAATGACTATTTTTAGTCGGTTCTTTCTTGAAATTTAATCAAACAAGCTAACAAAGAAAAAACAAAATTTTCACGCTAAAGATTATTATTGCTTTACGAATTGTTAGCATACTATTTTCTCCCATATATACAAAATTCAGACGAACTCAGGAATGCAAAGATAACTTCAGGATATTCCGACAGTACAAAATGATTTCAGGCTTCGAAAACTTAATCATACGAAAAAGGAACTCTGTAATTAAATAAGTTGTAATAAATCTATGAGCAGCTTTTAGCTCACTAAAAATCTCTAAAACTGAGCGAAAAGAAAGATCAAAAAAGAAAATTTAAGCACCGAAAATATTCTTTTGAGAAACTTTTGGATTCTGACCATAGTCACTCTGTGGAACATTTCGAAAATTTTCAAAACTTCGACAACCTGTCAGAGTGTCAAACAAAAAACCCGGAAACGTATTTCGGTTTCCTATTCTGCCTGTTTGAGTTTCAGGATTTTCGGAAACCATCCGATAATCGAAAAGATATCTACCGAGACTCTTTTGGATACCAACTCAGTACTATTGCCAATATTAGTTCCCTAAAATGCTTTAACGGTTTTTGAAAATACTAATAGGTTCCAGAAAGCACAAGAAAGGTACTCTAAAATATTTTCCACGGGTCGACATTGGTATTCTAGAAAACCAAACGATTTCAGAACCTGCGGAAACCAAGAAATTATTGTCAGAAAACGCTTCAAGGGTTCGAAAACGTTCTCAGAAACCTCTAAATGTTTGTGAGAGGGTTTTGCAGCGAGTTTTCCAGGAAATAGATTTTTTTAGAGAGTAGCCTTATAGCTATGCCCTTATTTCTCTATCCTTAATACTGCACCTTATAACTACACCTCTTTATCTATACCATTTATATATATACCATAGCAATTCTTTTATTTTGAGTATGCCTTTACGACTACACTCTTATATCTTGACCATTTTATTTATGTCAGTATACTAATAGGTTTATATGGACTTCCTTGTGGCTATTCGGTTATTTGTGTATTCGTGAAACTATATGTTTAGGTCTATATCCTTGGATTCATACGAATTTCACTAAATTCTCTATCTTATTTGTAAGATGTGAAGTTCAACGACATGTCTGGATATTAACTGTGCATGATATGGTTGACTAATTTCATAGTATTGGATGTTTTATTGAATGGGTTATTTTTGTTGACGTTAACGAGTGTTTTAGAACAAGCACGATAGAAAACGAGAATACGATAACAAATCGTTTAAAGCTGACGCATGCGATACTTAACAATATTATCGGAGCTTCATTAGA